TATTTTCACACAACTTCTGTTTAATCTCCATCTTTATTAACACATTGGAATGGTCTTCAGAAACCGAAAAATACATGGTGATCATATCACCCGTTTAGTACAGCTTGGATCTCACCTGGCTCCTGGTAATAATCTGTGATACCTACCCTAGTTGTTCCATTTAAGGTGATACCTATCCCTTTTACTGCCATACTCTGGATTAACAGGTCTTCTTCCTAGACTGCCTTCCCTTTCTGCACATTTAATATACTATTTGTAGACAAATATTACTGATAAAGCATGATATAAATCAGGACTTGTCACCGTCATAGCAATTATGGGCTTATGACGCACAGTAGGGGGAATCGTAGTACATATCCAACAGTCTGAGAGATTAAAATTGGTTAGAGATCACCTCATGCATTTGAATCCTCCTAATCAGAAAGGTTTGGCTTTCCACATTCATCGGGCCTAAGGATTAGTATCATCAGGACACCCTGCCAGCTCTCATCTTCCTCTTCCACAGATGACTTTATTCTGAAACTGAAAGGGACACAATTAATGTTTTTTCCTAAGCACCGCCTGCCAAGATCAGGGGCCCCCTCCGAGGCCTCATCCCTTAAACTAGCCTGGTTGCTCAGGTACCACGGCCTTATGCACGTGTTTGCAATGTGACGCATGCACCCAAGCCTCCTTCCCCTCAAGCTTTACAGCTGTTGAGGTCACCAGTACCACTTGATGGGGTCCTGTCCACCTGGGCTCAAGGCTTCTCCTCTGGTGCTTCTTAAGCATCACCCAGTCGCCTGGTTGCAACTTATATGTTCCTTCAAGATCATCTGGATCTGGAAGTGAGGCATAGATTTTATTATGCAACTGATTGAGGTGTTTCTGTAATCCTATTACATACTCAGTGAGTGTACCATAGGATTTGGTTGATGCCTGTGGATAGTACAAACCTGTCTTTGGCACTGATCCCAACAAATAATCAATTACAAAATGACAATATTTACATATGTTTTCTCATCTGGGTTCTTTTAGTCATGCGTTTATCACTTGCCTCCTCTCCATTCCCAAGCACAGACAAGTTTTTTATGTGAGAAATAAGCTCACTTGTTAGGCCTTGCCTGTCTGTAGTTGAGATGTGTGTAGGCTGCAGTAATCCTGGCTTCAGCGATGATCCGAATCAAAGGCACCAATCAGGGGTGGACTGACAACTCATGGGGCCCCCCGGGCAATAGGAAATCATGGGGCCCCTGTGTCCTCACCCACAGTCAAGCCACACCCAAAAAAGCCTATGAAAGGTACCAGGAGCATCTCATGGGGCCCCCTACTGACTCTGGGCCCTCGGGCAGTGCCTGAGTGGCTAAATGGTCAGTCCGTCCCTGGCACCAATAAATGTTTTGGGAATTTCACTGCTTTAAATCTGAAATAAGCAACCTTGCAAATGAGAGCTCCAAATCATATTTCTGGCATGCTTGCTGGGGAGAACTTGTTTGAATGCAAGGCGTCCAGTAAAATTAAATGAGGGACTCAACACAGATTTTTTGCTGGGGAGTATAGACATCTGCAAATTTTTGGTTAAGGGGATTTATGAGGGGCTGAATTTTGTGGAGCCGGTCAAATTCAGGGTCACCCCGAGGATGACAGTGTATTGTTGTTGAAATGCATAAAACTCATTATACTCTCATATCTATGCCTGGTCATGGCAGCAGAGAACACAGCATATGATGAATCGGGTCTGTGGACCAATACAACCGCAATTCATTTTTTTTTTTTTAGTAATGCCCATGCTGAGGGTAAGGTCCAACACAAATTTAAATTGGGAAACCGTAATGAGTTTTGGTCTGGAAAGGTTTGAATTTGGGTTGACAGAAATAAATTGTTGTGCATATAAATTGCTTTGATCTGCAATCAATGCATACAGATCTTCTGTGAAAAAAAGCTCTGAAAAATCAAGGGGAGTAGTTAAATTTGCTGTTTCCACCTGAATTCTGGGTTGGTCAGTGAATGGGGAAAGTACGGGTGCTGCAAAATTTGTGGGCTGCCAATCGGGATATGTGAAAGACCAGGATGTACTAGGCTGCTGGTGCTTGCCAGTTAACCAAAAGGTAGCGCTGCACTAGTACCGGCACTCTGCTGCATATGAGAGTCATCAAAAATTTACAGACAAGTGCTAACAGAGATCAGGCCTGATTCTGCGAATACTGCAGTCTTGTGTGCAATGTATCAAGTGACAGTGACCTACTGACACTGCACTTTGCAATGGAGGAGAAGGGGGGGGGGGTAAGCATAGGGGCTAAAGGCAGGTGTTGGCAGTTTCCAGGGCTGATCCCGCTAATGCTGAGTTTTTGGGGACGCTATACTAATGTGAAAGCTGGTATAATGCTGATTTGCACTCAAAGATATTGATCCTTCAGACACTATGCTAGCAATGGAGGTTTATTGTGTATGAGCATGCTCCTTGCAATCAAGGGGTTAAATTGTGATGACTGGTGTTTCCCCACGAACTGATTTCAGTGGTATTTGACGCTGTGCGATATCTGTGAGGGGCGTGAAAAAAAATACCACGGGAGCGCGAATCACGTTTACTTTTTGCTATAAAACATGTTCAGTAAAAACATTTAAAAATCAAATTTCGTCCTAAATTTAGGCCAAAATGTATTCTGCTGACATGTCTTTGCTACAAAAAATTCCTATACAATTAGTTTACGTGAAAGTTATAGCGTTTACAAATGGCGGTATAGATACTGGATTTTTTTTAATAATAGTAATGGCGGCGATCAGCGACTTATAGCGGGACTGCGGTGGACATTCTGACACTGGGGGGAACTGACTTGGGGTCACTGACATCCCCAGTGACACCAATACAGTGATCAGTGCAAAAAAACTGACACTGTACTAATGGCACTTGGGAGGAAGGGGTTAACATTTGTAGGCAATCAACGGGTTAACTGTGTGAGAGGAGTGTTTCACTGAGGTGTGTGCTTCACTGTAAGCACACTGATCTGGAAGGCTGAGCTCAGCAATTCAGATCAGTGTGCTCAAACTGACAGAGGAGAAAACAATGCAGCCATGCTCCCTGTCAGTGTTTGCCGGTAATCGCTGGCCGGGACCCTGTGGTTGACACCCGTGGCTGCTATCGGTGCCGCGGTTAGGGCGGTCACGCGCCTCACGTGTGCCCCCCCCTACCCCGAAATGCAGGATGACATTTATAAACATGATCCTGTGCACAGGGGCCGCCTTGCCGCAGTGTATGTACTGTGGGCGGTCCTCTAGTGGTTAAAATTATGGCGGACATCATCCGAGTGGCTCGGACAAAGGACACCATTTTGTTTAATGGCAATCCAGTTATGCTTTTACCAGATCTGTCCAAGCTCACCCTGGATATGCACAGAGCTTTGAAGCCACTCATGGGAGTCCTACAGGCCAAAAAGATCAAGTACCACTGGGGATTTCCCTTTCAGCTTTCTGCATCCCATGAAGGCAAATCTGCAATCTTTCGCTCAATGGGCGACCTGGCTAATTTTCTGGGAACTTTTGAACTTCCTCAAATCGCCTTTCCGGATTGGCCTATAAAAAGCGATACACCTGGCCTGCCTTTATCCACTGGGTGGCAGACCCATCCCAAGAAGAAACACCCTCGATCCAATGCATCAAAATCACCTGCTGGTTGATCTGAGCAAGACTTCTTGGAGTAAAGATGGGGTTTCTTCCCCTCTGGTGTTTACGCCATCTTTGGCTTCGGCCTTCCCTCAATTTGCTGACCTCTCATTATATTACCATGTTTGCTTGTATCATTATCTGTTTATTTGGTTATTGTCGGTTACTACTACTGTTTTTATCAGCTGTGAGATGCTGGATAGAGCTTAAATTATTATATGCTGACAGTAGCATCCCTGACGTTTTATCTATGGGGACCATGGATTAAGCCCCTATCCCCTACTCATTTCAAGGCAATTGTTTTGGAATGCTACTGTTAAAATTATGAAACTCTTACCCCGAGCTGGGCGAGCCACTCTATGTGTTGCCCATGACTCCCACTGTAGGGTTTACAGCATCCATACTGGCTCCGGTGATTGGTTTTTTTTAGCTTCACATCCTCTTGGCTTTTTGGCCTTACATGTTATTGCTACTTCTTTATGGCCTTTAAGAGGCAAAGTTTCCTCATGTTACTACTTCTTCCATTTATGTCGGCTTACTTGTTATTATACGGAACTCTACTCAATGGTCCCTTCTCCTTTTGTTGTAATATTGTCATTGCTCGTCTCATGCTAAATGGAACTTGTGGGCCACAAACACAACTGGAGCCGACACTCCTCCCCCTTCTTTATTCCCCCTGCTCTTTCCCTTCTTTTGCTCCCTTCTTTCTCTTTTCTTCTTGGGTACTGGCATGAACATCCCTATTCTTATCGTTACTTCCACCCCTATCCTGAGGTTATGGCATCCCTGCCGCCTTTGAAAGTTTCTTCTCTCAATTGTAGAAGTTTTAATACGCCTGAAAAAAGGAGACAAATCCTTTATCATTTTCATAAACGCCACTCCCAAATTTTATTTTTACAGAGACTAACTTTCGACCTGACGAAGCGCCCTGTATACAAAAGAAATTCCATACTACATGGTTTCACAGAACTAACCCCCTGGCTAAATCTAAAGGTATGTGTTTATTGTATTCAACTATTTTGCCTCCTGAAGTGTTGGAATCATTCTTGGAATCTAACGGTCAGTATATATTCTTGAAATTAAGATACAATATCTCCCAGAAGCAATTCCACTCCTCACATTTTTGTACATATTTGATTCTCTTTTCATGTGACAACACTGAAGAAATGACACTTTGCTACAATGTGACGTAGTGAGCATACAGCTTGTATAACATGTAAATTTGCTGTCCCCCTCAGTAAATAACTCAACACCCCCGCCATTAATGTCTAAACCGCTGGCAACAAAAGTGAGTCCACCCCTAAGTGACAAGGTCCAAATTGGGCCCAATTAGCCATTTTCCCTCAGTGTCATGTGACTCGTTAGTGTTACAAGGTCTCAGGTGTGAATGGGGAGCGGGTGTGTTAAATTTGGTGTTATCCCTCTCACTCTCTCATACTGGTCACTGGAAAGTTCAACATGGCACCTCATGGCAAAGAACTCTCTGAGAATCTAAAAAAAGAATTGTTGCTCTACATAAGGCTAGGCCTAGGCTTTAATAAGAAGAAGATTGCCAAGACCCTTAAACTGAGCTGCAGCACGGTGGCAAAGACCATACAGTGTTTTAACAGGACAGGTTCCACTCAGAACAGGCCTTGCCATGGTTAACCAAGGAAAGATGAGTGCATGTTGCTGAGCGTCATATCCGGAGGTTGTCTTTGGGAAATAGACATATGAGTGCTGCCAGCATTGCTGCAGAGGTTTGAAGGGGTGGGGGTTCAGCCTTTCAGTGCTCAGAGCATACACCGCACACTGTATCAAATTGGTCTGCATGGCTGTCATCCCCAGAAGGAAGCCTCTTCTAAAGATGATGCATAAGAAAACCCGCAAACAGTTTGCTGAAGACAAGCAACTAAGGACATGGATTACTGGAACCATATTCTGTGGTCTGATGAGACCAAGATAAACTGATTGGGTTCAGATGGTGTCAAGAGTGGTGTGGCGGCAACCAGGTGAGGAGTACAAAGACAAGTGTATCTTGCCTACAGTCAAGCATGTGGTGTGAGGGAGTGTCATGGTCTGGGGCTACATGAGTGCTGCCAGCACTGGGGGCTACAGTTCATTGAGGGAACCATGAATGCCAACATGTTACTGTGACATACTGAAGCAGAGCATGATTTCCCCTCCCTTCGGAGACTGTGCCGCAGGGCAGTATTCCAACATAACGACCCCAAACACAACTCCAAGATGACCACTGCCTTGCTAAAGAAGTTGTGGGTAAAGTGATGGACTGGCCAAGCATGTCTACAGACCTAAAACCCTTTTGAGCATCTGTGGGGTATCTCAAATGGAAGGTGGAGGACAGTGAAGGTCTCTAACATCCACCAGCTCCGTGATGTTTGTCATGGAGGAGTGGAAGAGGACTTTCAGTTGGCAACCGGTGAAGCTCTGTGAACTCCATGCCCAAGAGGGTTAAGGCCGTGCTGGAAAATAATGGTGTCCACACAAAATATTGACACTTTTGGGCCCAATTTAGACCTTATCACTTAGGGGTGTGGACTCACTTTTTTTGCCAGCAGTTTAGACATTAATGGCTGTGTGTGTTATTTTGAGGGTACAGCAAATTTACATGTTATACAAGCTATACACTCACTACGTCACATTGTACAAAAGTGCAATTTCTTCAGTGTTGTCACATGAAAAGATATAATAAAATATTTACAAAAGTGTGAGTGGTGGACTCTTCTGGGTGGACTTCTGTGAAATACTGTATCTGCAATCTATTTTTACACTTGTTAATATTTACTCCCCTAACCAGGAGCAGCTATGCTTCCTCTCTTCGGTGATGACGCGCTCTGGAGTCTTTTACTACGCATAATCTGATTGTAGGGGAGATTTCAATGTTCCTTTGGTCCCGAGATTAGATTCTTCTATGGGTAAGTCTTCGTTATCTCTCCTTCTGTTTTTAACTAAGATTTGCGCTGTGCTCTCCAGACTTTCTTTAGTGGATGCCTGGCGCACTTTGCACCCGTCAGAGAATGGACTACTCATATTACTCAGCAAACTCATACCTCCTATAGTAGGATATAGACTACCTTTTTGTCTCTCAGTCGCTCTTGGATTTTGATATTTCCTCCTCTATAGGCCTCAGGATCTGGTCGGATCATTCCCCTGTGCATCTTGGTATTGGCCATCTCCCCACACACACACTTGTTGATTCTCCTGGAGACTAAATGATAATCTTTTGAAAGACCTGGTTTGCAATCACGCTATCTCTCAGGCCTTTGTTGACTTTGTTAGAAATCACATTTCAGATCAGACGCATCCCATGACTAAGTGGAAGGCAACTTAAAATGTATCCTACGAGGTATCTTTATTCAGCATGGTTCTAGACTTAAACGAGAACGTTCGTTGTCTGACATTCGCCACTTTACTATCATTAATTTCTGATATAGAATTTACATACAATCACACTCTGAATCCTGATACCCTAGTGGCTCTATCCAATGCTCGTAGGGACCTCCCGAGGGACTCTATAATCTTCCTCCGCCACGACAGTCTGTATCCACCTCTCTGGATTGCACTGATTTATTTTCTTGCATTCAGGTAACCGCATTACCCACTATTTCTCCAGCTGACACCCAGCACCTCGAGGCTCCTTTTCAGGTCGCGGAGATCTTGAGTGCCATACAGGGCCTTACGACTGAGAAAAGTCCGGGTCCGGACAGCTTTACTCTTCATTTCTATAAGGCCTTTGCCTCACATTTAGCTCCACTTTTGGTTAACGCATTCGAAGCCATAGATATATCTCACCCGTTCTCCTCTTCAACTTCTTCAAGTTCAGATAGCGGTGATTTTAACTGAAACTGGGGAAGGATCTGTCCCTTGTAGTAACTATAGGCCGATCTCACTGCTAAAATATAGACTTAAGACTTTCGCTAGATTTTAGAGACTTGCCTTTCACCTTTGTTGCCTGACATAATTCACAAAGACCAGGTTGGGTTTGTCCCCCCAACGCCCGGAAGCCAGAGACAACACCAACAAGAACAATTCACCGTATTTCTATGGTCCAGAAGACTCAGGTCCCATCTTGCCTTCTCTCTTGTGACGCAGAGAAGGCCTTCGACAGAGTCAACTGGTCTTTTCTTCGACAGGCCTTAGTAAAAATTGGAGTGGATCCAAAAATGTTAGGTCATATCATGTCCCCTATATTCTACACCCTCAGCCACTGTACGGTTTAATGGGCATCCAAACAGTTTAACATTTCTAATGGCACATGACAGGGCTGCCCCCTTTCTCCACTACTATTTGTAATAGTAATTGAACACTTAGCCCAAGATATATACAAGTATAACTCTTCTTATATGCGGATAACCTTTTATTATACATTACGGAATGAGAGAGAGAGAGAAGAGATAAAGAGAGAGAGAGAGGGAGAGAAGAGAGAGAGAAAAACGAGAGGAGAAAAAAATAAAGACTAAGCATTGCTCCATCACCTCCCTGCAGACCGCTGAATGTTCTCTGGTGACCTGGCCTGGATTGGACCAGTGGGGGGTCCAGTGTGTGAGCTGTGTGCTTCCTCCTTCTCCCCCCTCTGCTAGACATACAGTAGCTGGCTCCCCTCCCTACACGTGGGTCCAACGGAGCGGGAAGCTGCAGAGGAGCCAGAACTGGGATAGGTGGGATCCCGGCTGAAAGCACTGTGGGGAGTCTTGGCCTTTTTCGGAAACGAGAGGGCAGCGGCAGCAGCAGCACAGTGCCGGGCACCAGGAAGTCGATGCCATCATCAGACGACAGTCGGTCACAGTGTGGGACTCGGGAGGGCTTGGGACTAATTTCTGTGCCCCCTTAAATCTTGCACCCAGAGTGACTGCCCCAGCTGCCCCTCCCCCCCCACACTACCCCCCCTCAACACCACTGATTACAGCAAAACAAAACACTTAAAACCCTCAGCTTATTTGTCCCTGAAGTTTATAGGTTTAAAGTCTAAAAAAATGGAAATCGCAGTTTGTTGTTGTATGGGGGCTGTGTAGCCGTAGACCGGTCAGGTGCCCATGCTGGCCCATGTCCACAGCCAAAAGTTGTCCTACAATGGGCACGTGAGGCCATGTGAGAATCAGAACTGGGCCACGGAGAGCAATGGAAAAAGGTGGCCTGGTCTGATTGAATCACGCTTTTCTTTTACATCATGTGGATGGCCGGGTGTGTGTGTGTGTCACTTACCTGTTGAAGGAGAGTGACGCCAGGATGCAGTATGGGAAAAGGCAAGATGGTGGAGGTTTTTCATCAGTGTCATGCTTTGGGCAATGTTCTGCTGGGGAATCCTTGGGCTACCTGCCATTCATGTGATGTTACTTGACACCCGTACACCTACTAACAAACAGTTGTTGGTGATCAAGCACACCCCTTTATGGAAACGTTTTCCTTGATGCAGTGACCTCTTTTAGCAGGATAATGCACCCTTCCACACTGCAAAAATGGCTCAAGAGTGGTTGGTGGAACACAAGTTTGAGGTGTTGACTTGTCCTCCTAATTCGCCAGATCTCAGTCCATTGTGGGATGTGCTGGAAAAAACGAAGTCCAATCCATGGAGGCTGCTCCTCCCAACTTACAGGACTTTCAGGATCTGCTACTGACAGCTTGGTTCCAGACACCACAACGTATGTTTTCAGAGGTCTAGTGGCCTCTATGCCTCAACAGGACAGAGCTGTTGTCCACAGCCACTGTTTCTGGAGCCGACTCCCACAAAATGTCCGCAATCTGTGGGCGGGGGTCTGAACTAACACACTGACATACTGTGACCATGTGTTTATGTATCATTGGTCTAGATCAGCCTTTCTCAACCTTTTCAATGCAGAGGAACCCTTGACATAAACTTTGCCGGTCTCAGGGAACCCCTTTAAAAAATGACTTTATCTACAATTCATGATACATCAGTGTGATAGTCAGAGGGAAGAATGCTCCTCACACTTGTGGTCATTGGAAGAATTACCCCCTTACAGATGGCTAAAATGATCAATGGTGTCAGTGGGAAACTTATCTCAGAGGCAAAAATTGCTCAAGGAACCCCTGGCAACCTCTGGAGGAACCCTGTAGTTCCATGAAACCCTGGTTGAGATACCTCATCCCCTGTACAAGCCCCATGTATTCTGCACAATCCACACTTGTCTGCATAAATCTGGGTTAACCATGTGATTATTTAAATACCGGGTAACCAGGGCGGACTGACCATTTGGAAACTCAGGCACTGCCCGAGGGCCCAGGGTCAGTAGGGGGCCCCATGAGATGCCCCTGGTACCTTTTTTCATAGGCTTTTTTGAGTTTGGGCAAGGACACAGGGGCCCCATGATCCCCTATTGCCCGGGGCCCCATGAGTTGTCCCGTCCTCCCCTGCCGGGTACTTCCACCCCCTTCCTGCCCCGGCCAATGTTCAGCTTTCAAGCGCTGTCGCACTTTGACAATTTTGCAGTCATGCAACACTGTACCCAAACTAAATTTTTATAATTCTTTTAGACAAATAGAGCTTTCTTTTGGTGGTATTTGATCACCACTGGGAGGGGGGGGGGGTTATTTTTTGCTATACAAACTAAAAAAGACAAAAACTGTTTGAAAAAAAGTTATTCTTAGTTTCTGTTATAAAGTTTTGTAAATAAGTAAGTAATGTTTCTCCTTCACTGATGGACACTGATGAGGAGTCACTAATGGACACTGATAGGCTGCACTGATGGTCACTGATGAGGCCGCACTGATAGGTGGCACTGATGGGCACTGATGGGCGGCACTGATGGGCACTGTTAGGCGGCAATGGGCATTGATAGGCAGCTCTGATGGGCACTGTTAGGCAGCACTGATGGGCATTGATAGGCGGCACTGATGGGCATTGTTAAGCGGCACTGATAGGCGCGGCACTGATGGGCACTGTTAGGTGGCACTGATGGGCACTGTTAGGCAGCACTGATGGGCGGCAGTGATGGGCACTGTTAGGCGGCAATGGGCATTGATAGGCAGCTCTGATGGGCACTGTTAGGCAGCACTGATGGGCAATTGATAGGCGGCACTGATGGGCATTGTTAAGCGGCACTGATGGGCACTGTTAAGCGACACTGATGGGCATTGATAGGCAGCACTAATGGGCACTGTTAGGTGGCACTGATAGGTGGCACTGGTTCAACCGATGGGCACTGATTGCCAGCACTGATTGCCAGCACAGATGGGCACTGATGGGCACTTTTAACCACACTGATGGGGCTACACTGATGACCTGTGCCCTGATGATCAGTGTAGATGTCCCATCCTCCGCATTGTGTAAAAAGGCTGTTTGATCCTGTCTTCTCTGATCTGCCCCCTTTTTCAAGCGACCACCTCTTATCTTCTGATAAGACAGACTGAATTGTAGGCATTTTGCACATGCTCAGTTTGGTGTGTATTGCAAGAGAGGGTTTTTTTTTCTTGGCAGAGTGCATGTGATCAGCACAGGGCAAATCAGCACTATCTAGATAGAGGGTCAGGGGTTCTGTATCCTCCTAGAGCAGAAAGAAAACTCCTACAAAATTTAGCTAGTGCTCTGCTGGACATTGATAGAAGTCACAAGACTACTATATACTGCTGATGAGAAATGGATTTAGCAGTTTATATTTACTAAAATAATTGCATTTCCATGTTCTGTGTACTGTGGAAGAGCTGATATAGTGAATGCAGGGTCTGGGGAGAGCGGATATAGTGAATGTAGGGGGTCCGGGAGACTGGATATAGTGAATGCGGGGGTCCGGGGAGAGCGGATATAGTAAATGCGGGGTCCAGGGAGAGCGGGATATAGTGAATGCAGGGTCCGGGAGAGCGGATATAGTTAATGCAGGGTCCGGGAGACTGGATATAGTGAATGCGGGTCCGGGGAGAGCGGATATAGTGAATGCAGGGTCCAGGGAGAGCGGATATAGTGAATGCAGGGTCCAGGGAGAGCTGATATAGTGAATGCAGGGTCCAGGGAGACCAGATATAGTGAATGCAGGGTCTTGTCAGACCAGATATAGTAAATGCAGGGTCCGGGGAGAGCCGATATAGTGAATGCAGAGGTCCCAGGGAGAGCGATATAGTGAATGCAGGGTCCGGGGAGAGCGGATATAGTGAATGCAGGGTCCGGGAGAGTGGATATAGTGAATGCAGGGTCCTGGGAGACCAGTCCGGACACTTTCACCCCCTTCCAGTCCGGACACTTTCACCCCCCTTCCAGTCCGGACACTTTCACTCCCTTCCAGTCCGGACACTTTCCCCCCCTTCCAGTCCGGACACTTTCCCCCCCCTTCCAGTCCGGACACTTTCATCTCCCTTCCAGTCCGGAAACTTTCCCCCCCTTCCAGTCCGGACACTTTCCCCCCCTTCCAGTCCGGACACTTTCACCCCCTTCCAGTCCGGACACTTTCCCCCCCTTCCAGTCCGGACACTTTCCCCCCTTCCAGTCCAGACACTTTCATCTCCCTTCCAGTCCGGACACTTTCCCCCCCCCCCCCTTCCAGTCCGGACACTTTCCCCCCCTTCCAGTCCGACACTTTCACCCCCCTTCCAGAGTCCAGGCCAATTTTCAGCTTTCAGCGTTATCAAATTTGAATGACAATTGCGCGGTCATGCAACACTGTACCCATATAAATTTTTTAACATTTTTTTGAGACAGATAAAACGTTATTTTGGTGGTATTTAATCACCACTGGGATTTTTATTATTTTTTTGCTATAAAAATGAAAGTCCAAAAATTTTGAAAAGTGTTTTACTTTTAAAATTTTGCAAATAAATAATATTTTATCATAAATCTTGGCCAACATTTATTCAGTTATCTTTTTAGTAAAAAAAAAAAAACCCAAATGAGTTTATAACCAAAAATTATAATTTTTTATAATTTATTTTTTACATTTTTAGTAAAATTTTTTTATATTTATGTGTTTTTTTTTTTTTTTTTTACATACTGTCACCCTAGCAGTACAATGTTACCATAGTGACACTGTACTACTTGTGGGGGGTGATGAAGATTTTTTCTCTTTTTTTACACTGATTTCTTTTACATAAACCCATAAAGGCTGTAAAAGCAATAATTTCTCCTTCTCTCTGGCTGCATTCTTGCAGCCATTGAGAAATACTGTGTGGGCTGTGATTGGTCACAGCTTGTCACATGGTACAAGGCTGTTGTGATCATTCACAGATTTTACTAGTAGTAAGCAATGATGTCGGAATGGACATCTTGCTTACTACTACTCTGCATGTGATCACTGATTGACCAGTCAGTGATCACATGATCGGGACCTCGCACAGAGGTCCCGTACAACGATCGTTGTTCCACTGAGTCCATATGACACAGCAGGCACTGGATTGCGGTGCTGCACGCTCCCAGGGAGCGCGTCACACCCAAGCAGCGGGCGGGGAGGACGTTTATAAACGGCCACCCGCCCCAGCACTGCCACTGTCCAGCCGTTTACATACAACGGCTGAATGGGAGGTGGTTAAGCTATTAAAATCCATTCACAAAGTGCAAAACAGTGAAGGCGTGTAATTCCAATGAGAAAAATGGTTCCTTTCGCCACATTTCCTTGGTTTGCGCAATACTGGAAGTGATGTCACTAGGCTCTGCCCGCGCGTTGCGTCACTGGTCATGTGACTTCCTCAGGGTAAGGAGCCCTGTGACCTGTATCCATTTAAATAGAGCCCTCTCTAAACTTTGGGGGGATAGAGATCTATAAACCCCACTGGAGGGGGAGCAATAGGATCATGAAATTAAGTCAACTTGAATCAAAGTGGATTTTTGAAATGGATACTACAACCCCAAAAGGGGCATAATATTGAGTTCGATCTAAATTGCTTTATCAGTGATTAGTGCCCTATTAACATTGAAAGGCCCCCTTTTTCTCTTTTCTCCCCCCCCCCCCCCGTTTTATACCCCGAGATGTGGTGTTCCCCTTTCTTTCTTTTTTTTTTTTGGTGCCATATCTCTTCTACACACTAGATGGAGGTATAACATATGATATGTTTACATATATCCTGAGTGCAATATCTTTGGTTGAATCTAGATGGAGACATTTTTATTCACCTATTCATGCAATATATTGTTACTAAGGAGTTACTATTTATTTATTTTCTGTTTTTTAGATTTATTTAAAAATTTTAAGCAATATTCTTTACCGATTTTGTATATAGAAGTGTAGTGGTGTTTTATCTCTGCTCTATTAATGCCGGTGTTAGGCTCCATGTACATGAGCCTACCCTGACTGCTGGCCGCGGGAAAACGCAAAACATGGCAACCGCGGTACTGCAATTTTGCTGCGATTTTTCCTGTGGCCGACGTTCAAAACATTCCTATCCTGAACCCATCATTCTGCGTTTAGGAGAGGAAGGTTTAACCTCAGCTAAATGCGGCAGCTCCTAAACTCTGCTAAAAGCCTACATGTACACGGACACACAGGCTTTTATGGAGTTGAGTTTTAGGAGCTTCGGCAAAAAAAATGCCCAAAACTCCTAAAACGCAAGTCTTAGGAGCTTTGTTTACGATCACCATGGTTACTTGTTAACCCATTTGGGGCTCTATTTGGGCAGCACAGTGGGCTAAATGGTTAGCACTTCCGCTGGCAGTACTCAGGTCGTTGGTTCAAATCCCAACCCCAGCACCACCTGCCTGGAGTTTGCATGTTCTCCCTGTGCCTGCGTGGGTTTCCTCCGGGTACTCCGGTTTCCTGCCACACTCCAAAGACATGCTGGTAGGTGAATAGTCTCCTGCCTAAATTGTCCCTAGTATGTGTATGTATGAATGTGAGTTAGGGACCTTAGATTGTACACCCCTTGAGGGTTAGGGACTGATGTGAATGTACAATATATATGTAAAGCGCTGCGTAAAATTGATGGTGCTATATAAGTACCTGTGATAAATAAATATTTAAATGGATGCAGGTCACAGGGCTCCTTACCCTGAGGAAGTTACGTGACCAGTGGTGCAACATGTGGGTGGAGCCTAGTGACATCACTTCCGGTATTGCACAAACCAGGAAGTGTGGTGAAAGGAACCATTTTTGTCATTGGAATTACACGCCTTCAGTGGATTTTAATAGCTTAATAAAGGAAATCTTTATTATGGGGTCGCACTATGATTTGTCCTCTGAGCATTATCCATCCTGAAGGGAAGCTGAAATCTGGTCTCTTAAAGGGCCAGTAGCAAGGAAATAGCTACTAAGGGAGAGTGGTGGACAAGCCAAAGGTTTACCAATGTTTATAGTGCGTATGACCTATATGATATATGGGTCAAGGAAGAAGGTGGGTTCATGGCACACTCATTGGTGATGGGAAGCGCTTCTGTATATGTTGGAGGAAGTAAACACTTTACAGCACTGCTGTGAAACACGGTGTGTTTTGCTGTAATGTGAGCGCATAGGTTTTGTCCACTCAACCATTTAAATGGTGTTGCACTACGATATACTGTATTTTTTCGCTCCATAAGACGCACCTGACCATAAGACGCGTCTAGGTTTTACAGGAGGAAAACAAGGAAAAAATTATTCTGAACCAATGGACTGAAGACATAGTACAGGAGATGACCAGAGACTGCAGACACAGTACAGGAGATGACTAGTGACTGCGGACACAGTACAGGAGATGACCAGAGACTGCGGACATAGTACAGGGGATGACCAGAGACTGCGGACATAGTACAGGGGATGACCAGAGACTGCGGACATAGTACAGGGGATGACCAGAGACTGCGGACACAGTACAGGGGATGACCAGAGACTGCGGACACGGTACAGGGGATGACCAGAGACTGCGTACATAGTACAGGGATGACCAGAGACTGCAGACACAGTACAGGAGATGACCAGAGACTGCGGACACAGTACAGGGATGACCAGAGACTGCGTACATAGTACAGGGATGACCAGAGACTGCAGACACAGTACAGGAGATGACCAGAGACTGCGGACACAGTACAGGAGATGACCAGAGACTGCGGACACAGTACAGGAGATGACCAGAGACTGCGGACACAGTACAGGGATGACCAGAGACTGTGGACACAGTACAGGGATGACCAGAGACTGCAGACATAGTACAGGAGATGACCAGAGACTGCGGACACAGTACAGGAGATGACCAGAGACTGCGGACACAGTACAGGGGATGACTAGAAACTGCGGACACGGTACAGGAGATGACCAGAGACTGCAGACATAGTACAGGGGATGACCAGAGACTGCAGACATAGTACAGGAGATGACCGGTTGAATTTCCGATCCATGTATGGGCAGACTGGTTGTACAGAAGTCGATGTACTGATCGTCTTCTGTACAATCAGCCTCTAGGAAAATGTCTGCGCAATCAGCACCGCCGACTGTAGCTGGCAGCACTGATCAGTGTATTCTGGCAGCATTGAAGTCTCTTCACTGTCAGAACACATTACCTCAGCAGGAGTGATTCCCCCATCAATGTCGAATTTGTGGATGAGCGAAATCAAGCAATTTTTTTTTGTTCAACCCACTGTTGAAAAAAACTAAATTATTAATGTATAGGCTGTTTTACTGAGCCTTTCCTTAAAGAAGAACTTCATTAAAACCAGTACAGAGTACAGGGGTCAGTAAAAAACAAAACAATCTATGGAGTGTAGTCAGGATGAGTATCACTGTACTTTCTCCAGTTCCCCAGTGTTCTTTTTGTGAATTGAAGCCCCCCCCTTATGTATTATACATGGAGATCATATCCCCCCTTATGTATTATACACGGTGATCATACCCCCCCTTATGTATTATACATGGAGATCATATCCCCCTTATGTATTATATATGGTGATCATATCCCCCCTTATGTATTATACATGGTGATCATATCCCCCCTTATGTATTATACATGGAGATCATATCCCCCTTATGTATTATATATGGTGATCATATCCCCCCTTATGTATTATACATGGAGATCATATCCCCCCTTATGTATTATACATGGTGATCATACCCCCCCTTATGTATTATACATGGAGATCATATCCCCCTTATGTATTATATATGGTGATCATATCCCCCCTTATGTATTATACATGGTGATCATATCCCCCCTTATGTATTATACATGGAGATCATATCCCCCTTATGTATTATACATGGAGATCATATCCCCCTTATGTATTATACATGGTGATCATATCCCCCCTTATGTATTATACATGGAGATCATATCCCCCCTTATGTATTATACATGGAGATCATACCCCCCTTATGTATTATACATGGTGATCATATCCCCCCTTATGTATTATACATGGAGATCATATCCCCCCTTATGTATTATACATGGTGATCATATCCCCCCTTATGTATTATACATGGAGATCATATCCCCCATTATGTATTATACATGGAGATCATATCCCCCTTATGTATTATACATGGAGATCATATCCCCCCTTATGTATTATACATGGAGATCATATCCCCCCTTATGTATTATACATGGAGATCATATCCCCCTTATGTATTATACATGGAGATCACATCCCCCTTATGTATTATAACATGGAGATCATATCCCCCCTTATGTATTATACATGGAGATCATATCCCCCTTATGTATTATACATGGAGATCATATCCCCCCTTATGTATTATACATGGAGATCATATCCCCCCTTATGTATTATACATGGAGATCATATCCCCCTTATGTATTATACATGGAGATCATATCCCCCCTTATGTATTATACATGGAGATCATATCCCCCCTTATGTATTATACATGGAGATCATATCCCCCTTATGTATTATACATGGAGATCATATCCCCCTTATGTATTATACATGGAGATCATATCCCCCCTTATGTATTATACATGGAGATCATATCCCCCCTTATGTATTATACATGGAGATCATATCCCCCCTTATGTATTATACATGGAGATCATATCCCCCCTTATGTATTATACATGGTGATCATATCCCCCCTTAATCTCCTCTTCTCAGTAGAGAATACATTCAGTTCCTCTAATCTTTCCTCATAGCTGATCTCCTCCATGCCTCTTATCAGTTTAGTTGCCCTTCTCTGTACTTTCTCCAGTTCCCCAATGTTCTTTTTGTGAATTGGAGCCCAAAACTGAACTGCATATTCCAGTAACATGTTCCCAATCATGCAGCCGCCACCTGCCGCCCTCCTCCGACAGATAATATGGGGAGAAGTTCCCCCTATATAATCTGTCAGATTTGAAAACAGCGTGGCCATGCAGGGCTCTGTCCACACGGCCGCGTAACTCATTCACGGACTTCCATGAATAAATTAACTGCATGTCCCTCCCAGCCTTAGCGGCTGTTGGCTTGTAGTTCTCAATGAGCTACCACAACACTGTAGAGCACCATGGTAGTTCATTGAAGCTTCCTGTCAGAATATCTGCTTGATCGTACATCCTGCAGATATACTGACAGATCTACAGGAGCCCTGCATGGCACCAGAGATCTGCTGATCGCAGGTGCAATGCTTTCCAGGCTCCTGCAGACAAAAATTTTAACTGCAAAAATATGTGCATTTATTATTTTTGTGCAAAAGGTGACCGTATCCTTTAAACAAAATCATGTTCACTTCCAACAGCTGACCAGGGGAAATGACGGGTTGTTGTCACAGCCCATTGTACTACTGGTTTTGTATGTGGCTATAATATCATTGCTGCTTTCCACATTATAAAGGGTTTATAAAAATGTTTTTTTTGTTCCTAGACCAGGGGTCTCCAAACCTTCCAGGCAAGAGGCCAGTGTACTCTCCTTTAGACTTTAGGGGGGACAGAATGTGACCAGTGGGATTAGAAAATGGCCAAGAATCAGTAGACCAGTTGGAGTCATTTAAAATCATAAACCTTGTAGTGACTAGGAGGAGAATAGTACTCCATCATTGGTACTAGTGAGAGGAACAGTGTTCCAACATTGTTAACCGTGGGAGGAATAGTGTCCCATCACTGATGCCAGTGGGAGGAATAGTGCTCCATTATTGGTGTCAGTGGAAGGCATACTGTCCCATCCATGGTGCCAGTGGGAGGAACAGTGCCCCATTATTGGTATCAGTGGGAGGAATAGTGCCCCATCATTGGTATCAGTGGGAGGAACAGTGCCCCATTATTGGTGTCAGTAGGAGGAATAGTGCCCCATCATTGGTGTCAGTGGAAGGAATAGTGCTCCATCATTGGTGTCAGTGGGAGGAATAGTGTCCCATCATTGGTGTCAGTGGGAGGAATAGTGCCCCATCATTGGTATCAGTGGGAGGAATAGTGCCCCATCATTGGTGTCAGTGGGAGGAATAGTGCCCCATCATTGGTATCAGTGGGAGGAATAATGCTCCATCATTGGTGTCAGTGGAAGGAATAGTGCTCCATCATTGGTGTCAGCGGAAGGAATAGTGCTCCATTATTGGTGTCAGTCGGACGAATAGTGCTCCATTCTTGGTGTCAGTGGAAGGAATAGCCCTCCATCATTGTTGTCTGTGAGAGGAATAGTGCCTCATCATTGGTGTCAGTGGAAGGAATAGTGTCCCTTCATTACTGTCAGTGGAAGGAATAGTGTCCCTTCATTACTGTCAGTGGAAGGAATAGTGTCCCTTCATTAGTGTCAGTGGGAGGAATAATGCTCCATCATTGGTGTCAGTGGAAGGAATAGTGCCCCATCATTGGTGTCAGTGGGAGGAATAGTGCCCCATCATTGGTATCAGTGGGAGGAATAGTGTCCCTTCATTAGTGTCAGTGGGAGGAATAATGCTCCATCATTGGTGTCAGTGGAAGGAATAGTGTCCCTTCATTAGTGTCAGTGGGAGGAATAGTGTCCCATCATTGGTGTCAGTGGGTGGAATAGTGCCCCATCATTGGTGTCAATGGAAGGCATACTGTCCCATCCATGGTGCCAGTGGAGGAACAGTGCCCCATTATTGGTGTCAGTAGGAGGAATAGTGCCCCATCATTGGTGTCAGTGGAAGGAATAGTGCTCCATCATTGGTGTCAGTGGGAGGAATAGTGTCCCATCATTGGTGTCAGTGGGAGGAATAGTGCCCCATCATTGGTATCAGTGGGAGGAATAGTGCCCCATCATTGGTGTCAGTGGGAGGAATAGTGCCCCATCATTGGTATCAGTGGGAGGAATAATGCTCCATCATTGGTGTCAGTGGAAGGAATAGTGCTCCATCATTGGTGTCAGCGGAAGGAATAGTGCTCCATTATTGGTGTCAGTCGGACGAATAGTGCTCCATTCTTGGTGTCAGTGGAAGGAATAGCCCTCCATCATTGTTGTCTGTGAGAGGAATAGTGCCTCATCATTGGTGTCAGTGGAAGGAATAGTGTCCCTTCATTACTGTCAGTGGAAGGAATAGTGTCCCTTCATTACTGTCAGTGGAAGGAATAGTGTCCCTTCATTAGTGTCAGTGGGAGGAATAATGCTCCATCATTGGTGTCAGTGGAAGGAATAGTGCCCCATCATTGATGTCAGTGGGAGGAATAGTGCCCCATCATTGGTATCAGTGGGAGGAATAGTGTCCCTTCATTAGTGTCAGTGGGAGGAATAATGCTCCATCATTGGTGTCAGTGGAAGGAATAGTGTCCCTTCATTAGTGTCAGTGGAGGAATAGTGTCCCATCATTGGTGTCAGTGGGAGGAATAGTGCCCCATCATTGGTGTCAATGGAAGGCATACTGTCCCATCCATGGTGCCAGTGGGAGGAACAGTGCCCCATTATTGGTGTCAGTGAGAGGAATAGTGCCCCATCATTGGTATCAGTGGGAGGAACAGTGCCCCATTATTGGTGTCAGTGGGAGGAATAGTGCCCCATCATTGGTGTCAGTGGAAGGAATAGTGCTCCATCATTGGTGTCAGTGGGAGGAACAGTGCCCCATTATTGGTGTCAGTGGGAGGAATAGTGTCCCATCATTGGTGTCAGTGGGAGGAATAGTGCCCCATCATTGGTATCAGTGGGAGGAATAGTGCCCCATCATCATGGTGTCAGTGGGAGGAATAGTGCCCCATCATTGGTATCAGTGGGAGGAATAGTGCTCCATCATTGGTGTCAGTGGAAGGAATAGTGCTCCATCATTGGTGTCAGCGGAAGGAATAGTGCTCCATTATTGGTGTCAGTCGGACGAATAGTGCTCCATTCTTGGTGTCAGTGGAAGGAATAGCCCTCCATCATTGTTGTCTGTGAGAGGAATAGTGCCTCATCATTGGTGTCAGTGGAAGGAATAGTGTCCCTTCATTACTGTCAGTGGAAGGAATAGTGTCCCTTCATTACTGTCAGTGGAAGGAATAGTGTCCCTTCATTAGTGTCAGTGGGAGGAATAATGCTCCATCATTGGTGTCAGTGGGAGGAATAGTGCCCCATCATTGGTGTCAGTGGGAGGAATAGTGCCCCATCATTGGTATCAGTGGGAGGAATAGTGTCCCTTC